TGAGGCACTAATTATTACTCGGCTAAGTTTTCAAATGCTGGGATGTTGCCTGGACGTTTTGTTTTTCTTCTTCAGTTGGAATATTTTATTCACTTGTCAAGCATGATGCTAACATAGGTAACTATAAACCAGATGGAAAAATTTGCTAGTTGAACAGTCTACTCAGGGAAATAAATCAATAACATTTGAAACTGTATGACAAGGGAATTCCTCTCCATCTTGAATTTTCAAGGAAAATTTGAACAAAATTTTAAGTAAAAGGCTCCAAATGGCACCATACATTTTAAATCTGTCACCAAACTGAGATATGTCAAGCCTGGAGAATATAAAATCCATGCTTTGTAAGTCTTAAATTGTTAGTGTTTGAACTAGTAAAAAAGAAATAGTCACGGGTATGGTCTAAATACAATACTGATTTCTAACATCTATATTTAAAAATAATTGTTTTATGCTAAAGCAAAGCCAACTTACACTTTTGAGAATAGAGGACTAGAAGAGAAGAATTAGTAGGTTAATATTCAACAGTGGGTTATAATCATAGACACACTTGGTTTGACACAAAAGGAGTTTTGCATATGAAAATATTCCAAACGAGATTCAGGGCTGATCAGAAAGGAGTGCTGGATACATGGAGATCCAATGTACAAGCACCATTTAGGAGAATTTTAATTCTCAAACTGAGTTTATTTAAAAAAAAAAAGTACAGGTCCAGTTTTTTTTTTTGGGGGGGGGGTAAAAAACTTCATATAATTGAAAAAAAAATACTGTTAGCTGTTATAGGGAAGCATTATATAATTAGCAATAATGCCAAGTTTTTCATGTTTTTGTGTAGCTGAAACTATTTTTATGAAAGATAACCTTGAAAAATAAAATCCACGTGACACCAAAAACAGCAGTCTGACTGCTTACCTTAGTCTTTGAGAGCTGTCTGCTGTAGGGCTCCCCCTCTCCCTTTCAGACATACTCAAGCAGAAAAATCAGGAAGAGGTTTTTTTTTTTTTTTTTTTTTTTTTGTCTTATCTTTCAATAAAATAACTAATCAGTCATACAATTTTTTTAAAAAAAAACTGTACCTTTTAGAAAAACCACATCTGTTACCGTTATTTGAATTTTCTTTATAAGTAAAGAAAAATTGTATCTCTATGTCTACATACTGATTAAAAGAAAACTCGTTTGTAGAAATGACTCTAAAATGCTGAATCATTAGGGTGGTTCTGGTACTCAACATTGGATCCATATATGAAATTTATCTGGAGCCAGGCCTTACTCATAAAACCCTCAGCGGTGGAACTAATATTGTATTCAAATGCTCCTCCGTTAGATCAAATGGAGGAGGTAGTATAAAAATTTTTTTTTCAAAGAAGAATAGAAAATGTCTGCACGCTTGCTTCTGTATGACTTAATCATCTATGCAAAACTCTTTTGTGTATTTTGTTGTTAGACGCTTGCTTAGGAAACGGGAAACCTTTATCCCACCACAAACCATACACATCGCTCCATTGTGTCTTTTACACTGAGTCTCCTACTGAGTCCAAATCATCCGACGAGAGGGGGCGGTACAGGTCCTGAAAGATGAAGGGCAGGACAGATTCGTTTACTCGTCTCTCTCGGGTTCCCTGCTGCTCTCTGATGAGCAACGTGGGAAGGGGCAGGCCCTTGGCTTCTAACATCACTAGAACTCAAGTCACCAACTTTGGATAAGAGAAAAGATAGCACAGGCAAAGCGATGCTTTCGTTTCGTTGGCACGAAAATCCTTCCAGAGCTCTCAGGAGCTCCTGCCTTCCTTCCAGTCCAGTTGAGTTATGGCCCCTGCTGCCTGCCAAGACCGCCTATGCTATTCCGTGTCTGGACAATTCTTTCATGGGCATTTTCTTCCCATGCTGGGTAGAAGAATGTGCTTACCTCACAAAAAAAATTATCACGTGCAGCAGCTGGCATTCAGGATATTCCGGGCAGTATCTCCAGTAGGCACTTGCCCACAGTGTGAACCCAACACATGCTGCCCTTTCACAGTTTTATGTTTGGGTGACAGGGAGACTTCTCAGTTATGCCCATCCACATCCCATTCCCTTCTAGTTCCTAACGGCTTACCCATCTCCCCTTCTTCCTGCCTTTCTCTGCTACTACATCTCAGTGTTGGTAGCCAAGCAACCAGCTCAGTTCCACCCAGTGTCTACAACTGGCTTTTTTTCCAGTTTTGTGCCGCCCACTCCTACCTCATCCTATGGATCAGTTAATCTACAAAAGTCAGTGATGTGGGAGGGTAATGGGGAGCTTCGTTCAACCCACGCCACACAACACATCTTTTTTCTCGGTGTTTTAAGAAAGGGGACCCCTCAAAGAGGTTTCTGGATGGGAAGAGAGCCTTAAAAATTGACTTCTGAGGCCAGGCAGTTGCTTGTAGACAGCCACTTAAGTGGTTGTGCTTTGTATAAATAGGGGGCTCCTTGGTTCATGTCTCCAATATGTTTACGAAGAAAAAAATCTGACATGCAGACTTGTCTCTCATATGACTATTCTAAAATGTCAAAGGAAGTAATTTAGAAACTTGATCTTAAGGGAAGAAAAACAGCTTATTAAATCATAGTTAACATAAGTGGAGTACAGATATTTTTACTTGTAAAGAAATCAGTTATGTATCTTAATTCTCCTTTTAAAAATTAGTTTCTGAAAAAAAATTAGTTTCTGCTCAAGTATTTTAAGGTGTGTGTGTGTGTGCGTGTGTGTGTATGTGTTTGTCAACTCATTTTCTGGGTATGTTACTAGGCAACACAGAAAGAAAAAAATAGAAGTGGCTACTGTTTTCTAATTTGCAATAAGTGAAATTAATTTATTCTTTGAAGTGTTTTCTTTTAGCACATACCATCTTTCACTTATTTCAGTATTTCCTGCATAGAAGTGTAGCCAACCATTTGAAAAGAATACTAACCAAATTTGAAACAGGAACAGTTTCTAGGGATATTCTGGTCCCGTTTTAACAGGGAGGGGTTATTTGATGCAGTTGTCTACACAAAAAGATGAAAGCTTCTCTCACTAAAGCAGCTGGAAATGTCTCCATGGTACATAGATGGAGGGTGTTCATAAATTCAAAGCCTTGAGAACAGAACCATCTTTGAATACATGTAGCTAAATTCAAAAGCCTAGAAACTAAAGCATCTTTGAATGCTTACAACATGTGTTTAATAAATGTTTTCAGATGGTGATAAACTTTTTGTCTCTCTAAAAGTAAATGAGAAAAAATTTGACTCCTTCAATGACAGTGCAATACTGGTGGTTTAAATGGCATAGAGCCATGCCTGCTAACCATTTCTGAATTGCTAAGAAGTGTTAATTATATAAGTCAATGACACAAAGCTGGATGAAAACTTTCTGCCTCAGTTGAACAACAACAACAAAAAATCCCATTGAAGCCAAGAAGAAAAAGATGCAAATTCTAGCCACATTCTCCTAACTGAGCAAAAATTTAATTTATACTCCCAAGATAGAGGGGTTCCTACCAGCAACTCCTAGAGAGAGGAACTGTCAAATACTCTCATCATTCTGAATTTTGACTCAATTTAAACCCAAGATACCCAATAATGTCTGAGACTGAGTTCAGTGGATCAAAAGGCATTTTGGTTTCTCTGCTAGCTCGGAAGCACACACGTCAGGAGAGAGGATGTTCCTGGGACATTGTCTATGCTAGATCTGGCTGCTTCTGTGGAATGGAACCTTGCTGGCTAGTATTTGTGAGCACAGGATGGCCACCAGCTCTTCCCCCACTGAAGGATAATCCTTTAAGAGCGTGAATGAATGTGACCAATTCTGTAGGTCCTTAATGATTCCTAAACTCACTCAGGGTGGATGACAGACTTCTCTAATAAAAATGATCCCATCACTGAACAGAGAGGCACATACAAAATCACTGGCTTTAACAGAATAAAGGAGCTCAACTCTACGCTAGCAGAACCAGCAGAGAAACATATTGGCAAGAGATTCAAAGTGACTGCAGACTGACTGGTTTCTTTTTGGCCCCCACTAAAAATAACTGATGGTTTTGACAGCCTAAAGATCCAACTTGAAAGAGAGGGACTTCCATACTTGATGAGTTTAAATTAATCAATTTTACAAGTGTCATTTAAATGTATAATAAAAGAAATTAAACTCAAACATTCTGATATATAAGTGCAATAGCCTCCAAGAAGACCCTGTTTATTAAACTATTCAGTAGGCACCATCATATAAATCACCCAAGTAAAAATAATCCCCCATCTCTTTTCCAAAAGCAGGACCCTGAGGGGACATCTACCTTTTCCAGCATGCCATTTCCTTTTTACCTTTCCCAATTCTCATCTTCTGGCCTTGGTATAAATGGGATTAATGGGCTGTATGAGGAGTGAGGGGATTTGAGTAGTTTATTCATTCCAGACGAAGAGCTAACTCTCACCCCCTTGCTTAGCCTTGGAGGAGCTGACCCCTTTTCCAGTAACTTTCACACCTTCATCTCCAAGCTCAGTTTATCTCTCTGCTATTATACAAGAGGCTCAAAATAAATGTGAGAGAATGAGTTCAGTGTGGGTCCATTCACAAAACCTTCATCCTATGCTCCCAAGTACTGCTGCATGGGCTCTCCAGCTGCTCTGGACTACCCTGCTTGCCACTGAGGAGTTTCCACCAGGATGCTATTACCTCTATTGACTTTTCCTTACGGGGCCAGTGATTAACAGATGTCTGTAACGAAGCTAATTACAGCTAAGGACACTTGCGTGCGTAATAAGGTCCGTGCGTTATGAACAAACAGGAGGCAATTGTACATTCTACTCAGAATTAAGACTTGGCAAATTTGTGGAAATTGAAAGACCTGGGCTCTAGCTGAATCCTAGCAACGGCGAGTGAACCACAGTTGGTTACCCCTTTCCCCGGTCATCCCCCCAGAAAAGCACACTTCTGGCTGGCACCCATGCCACTCTGCACCAAAACTTAGACAGGCCGTAAATAGGTGGCTTTTCTGTGTCCTTACCCTCTGCTTCCGCAGGCTTCCTGGGCTGGTGGGTGACGGACTTGGTGACTTGCCCGAGCGTGGAGTAGAGAGCTGACTACCAGGGGTTCCATTAACTAGAAATAAAAGGAATCACACAGAGAGAAAAATAGCACATTAGAAATTTTTTACAAGAATTCATCTTTTCAAGGAAATAAACAGAGACGGGACATCAGCTAAAAATTAGACCCATTATCTGACTCATGAAGAAAGCCTCAGGGAATAACTGTCCCCAGACATTCACTGTTCTGATAATCTTGTGTTTAATACAACAGCAAGTTATATAATTTTTAAAAATGTACTTTGCACAGTTTTCCTTTGTTTGAGCCAAGAGAGATTTTCTTAAGAATGTTCAAGGCTTTGAGATGTGTGTGTGTGTCTTTAGTTTAGTTACCCAGTAGGAGAATTTTTTTTTTTTTTAAAACAGGTCACAGGTGGCATTCCCAAAGACTTGAAAAAAAAAAATAGACCACTGTGTTTTTATAATTTAATCACTCACTTTTAAACTTTCTTATATTCATTTATGTCCTGTCTATTCCCCCTGCTTGATTCTGATGTGTCTGCCCCAAACAGGACAGATTAATTGTTCACAGATGCTGAGAAACCCCACACTGTTTGTCTTTGTTGCTATTGAACTGATAAAAAGCTGCCAACAGGTCCCAAACTCTGTAATCCTACCCAGCACTCAAGTTGTGGAAAGCATTGTCAGTAAGGCTGGGATGAAGCCACGGAACCAGGCTATTCTCTTCTCTAGCTAGCACCACCTCTGAGGACACATAACCCCCACCCCCAAAGACATGATTGTATAAAGATATCAAAGGCGGCCACTCTAACTTGGCAACCTCGCAGATGCACAGGGAGAGAAGAATCAGACAGGAGAAGCATACATTCTGGAGGGTGCCTTGGGGGAGAGCCGGCAGTACATTCCACTTACCTTCTATGAGCTCTAACATGGACACAGTCTTAGTGTTTGACCTGACAATAGCAAGAGCCAGAGCCTCTTCTCAGCACCGAGCCCAGCACCCGCAGACCGGGGGAAGCAGTTGGATTAGCTAGGGACGGCTAAGGCTGCTCGGGGAGCAGGCTGAATGAGATGCAGGATTCATCAGCAGATGCCTTTTCCTGCGTAAGGCTGACGTCTTCCCAGCGGCAGTGGGAGGTGCGGGTTCTGTCTTAGGCTACATCAAAGGTGTCAATTAAGTCTCATGCCAACGCGTTGCCACCGCAACCCCCACCAGACACACACTCACTCCTCACTCCGGAAGCCCCAGCCGGCTCAATCCTTTGCACTGAATCATGAGGAAGTGCCTCTGGGGGCAGCCAACTCAGTGACTCATACAAGACTCAAAATGACAATATCTCGTCCAAAAACCTGGCAAGTTCCAGGTGATAAGGACATACAGAAGTCTGTGTTTGTTGACTGTTTTTTTTTTTTTTTTACACATACACTGAATTCTCATAAAAACCTTAGTGGGAGGGGAAATCTCCTGGCTTCCTATGCTCCACACACTGTACTCATTGGTGGTTTTCCCTTTGAAATATATTTGATAAGTATGTCTTTAAAACCTTTTTGGGGGCGGTTGTTTACTGATGTTTTTGCATAGCACAGCAGCAAGCTGTGAGCGCTTAAATTTGCTTGCATGCTACTGGTCTGTAGTCTCATGTTCATGGCTTACTGGACTGGACTTCCCGGCCAGTGGTCTCTAAGGGAAAGGTTAGGAAATAGGCCAAGATTTCAGCATGGTGGAGAACACCTACCAGTGGAAGAGAAGCTGCCCCTAGTGGTTGGCTGGAGGGCTCCTTTTTATTAAATTAACATTCAAATTGCTGGCTTTGATTAACTGGGGGTGGAGCTCGGGCCTGGGGGCAGGGACACAGACAGCAGAGGGCACTTTCTGAGCAAGCACAAACAAGAAGCCTCTGTTGAGCGAGTACGCATACTGTGGGTAGCTTAGCTTGTCGCAGACTCACATTCTATCTACCAGTCATGCATTTGGACCTCTGAAATATCTCATTTAACTCCTGAAGAGTTGATGACATAGGCGGTATTATCTCCCCTCCACTTTACAGATGAAGGAATTGAGTCATAGGCAACGAACAGTTTGAAAACTAAAGGCTGAGGTCTACACTTAGTCTTAGTCCTACTCTCACCTTCCCTCACTACACCAGACTTTCAGGCTATAGGGATATATACAGTGAGGTGCTCTGGGAGGGGAAGCTTGGGGTGTTGTTATTGGAATTCCTAACTAACAGGGCCAAGGTTGGCCTGTGGGCCATGGAGAAGGCAGCAGGAAAGAAGTTAATCACATAAGATGGAGGCGTGCTGAGGAAAAGTGTTCTGAGTTTATAAGCCACCTGTGTCAGAGACAGGCATGGTGAGGAACCTCTTTAAGCTGAGGAAACAGCATGAATAAAGGCTAAGGATCAGCAGAGAGTGCAGGGTGCTGAAATTCACAATAGAGAGCTTGGGTTGTAGTCAAAAGCAATGAGAAACTATCAATTGGTTGTAAGGGGAGTCAGGGGTCCAGACTTGCATCTTAGAAAACTCCCAAGAGCTCTTTCATGGTCAAGAATGGATTAGAGGGGAACAATGATGGGCACGAAGCTACCCCTTACAATAACATCAAAGCAGGGCCAGCAAGACAGCTCTGCTGATAAAGGCATTTGTCACGAAGTCTGGGGATCTGAATTCAACCCACCTTTCCCTTCAACACTTCAAACAGAAGAGTCTACATTTTCTTATTAACTGGAACCACAAATTCAGGTTCTGTATCAACCACTCAGCACATCTGGTACATGCTAAAACCTCTTTCCCACAGGAAGCTTATTGTTAACTATGAAAGTTTCTGAAACATCCTAGATTTTGAAAACAGTTGACTAATTCATTGTTTCTAAATGGCCTCAGATTCTGTGTGCACTAATGAAGAAACTTTTTTTTTCCCTTATCGTATTGGCTTAAAGGGTTTTTTTTTTTTCTTTTCAGTTGGATGTCCAGGGCTCTCAGACACCAAGGGCCATGTGCATATTTTCACCTGTGAAGCTGGCAATGACATTAGACAAATCTCAGAGCAAGACTAATTGAGAGGTAAATTGCTTCTCATTTTTTATTTGTGTAAATATTTTACCATGTCCCTGACATGACCAGATACTATGTTTAAAGGAAGGAAGAAGGGAGGAGAACATGAAAAGAAAGTGGAAAGGGACTCCCAGAGTCCCAGAGGGATTTGGGAGAGTTTGAGGGGGGGGATGAACAACACTAAGGAAGTGTAAAAAAGTCATATTGAGACCTATTCAATAAGCTAATTAAAATACAATTTAAAAAAATGCTGAAAAGAAAAAAAGGCATGGCAGGGGATAATGTTCCTTCCAGAAGCTACAGAAATGCTAGTACTGATGCAGAGTCTTTCCAAGAAGCTGTTGGTCGAGGAGGTGCCACTCATGCCCAAAATAAGGCAGACTATTGCCACGGGCCTGGTTGTCTGCAGCACTTAATGGCAAACCCCTGTTGCTGATACCACAGATGCTGGGTACTGCATGTAGGTAGGTAGATCAAGCTGGAGCTGATCTGGAAGCCTCCTTGGTGGTAGCAGGCTGTGGTGGATTGCATGGGAGTGGCTCCCATATTTGAACTTTAGATTCCCAGTTGGTGAACTATCAAGGAAGGATTAGAAGGTGCGGCTTTGTTGGAGGGAGTGTGTCACTGGGGCTGGGTTTTGAGGTTTCAGAAGCCCACCACAGGCTCACCTCTGCCTCCACCTTTCTAATCATGTGCGCTTTCCACTACTGCTCCAGTGCTATGCACCTGCCTGCAGCCATGCTTCTTGCCATGACGATCATGGACTAACACTCCGAAACTGTAAGCAAGCCCTCAATCAAATACTTTCTTCTAGAAGTTGCATTGTCTTTTCACAACATTAGGAAAGTAACTAAGACAGTGGCTTTCATGGTGCCGGAAGGTACTATGCACACAGGCTGCTGTGGGAGAAAAGTTATCACGCAGATGTGAACCCTTTGAGCCAATAAGATCAGGCCTGGAAAGATCTGCGTGCTGTGCAATACTGTCATGAATGTAATGGCAGATAACCAACTACTTTTTAATAGGATTAGAGGCCGTACCTTAGGAAGGAACTCATGCCCAGTACCATTAACCTGGTACCAAGAGCTGATGGCCAGAGAAACTGTAGCCCAGGCCATGGTGAGAACCCATTACTATCATTTTGCTAAGCAGACACGTGATCAAACTGTATTTGAAGCAGTTTATATCCATATATTGGCAATGCTATTAGAAAAACCTCTTATTTCAGCTGGTCATAGTGCAGAGACTCATAACTGGCTAAAGTGCCAAGCCTCATGAACATTCTGGAAGAATGGGAAGGAGTGCCAAAAGGACATCTTTTGAAGATCCTTTGTACCCATGAAATCACTGAAGCTGTTGTTGTCCACACATGACCTACACACGATTATGCCCATCAACATTTCATCATGGGAGAGGTCCTAGACTTCCCGAGGGGCTACTGACAGTTAATGGTTGCTTGGGGAAGAAATGTCACTTTCTTCAGTCACATAGCCATGGGTAAGCTTTCTATGCTCCAGTAAGTTTTCTATGCTCCAGTAAACAGCCTCCTACCCACACTCGCACAAGCAGCTCTAATTAATGTAATGGGTCACATATACATAGAAAGATATGAAAGTAGGATGGGACATCTTGGGGAGAATAAGGGTATTTGCAGAGAGGGAGGGGGAATGACAGAGAGTAATGGAATGAACATGATTAAAATTCATCATATACACATATGAAACCGTCAAAGACTAAACTAAATAACAAATAAAAAAATGGAAAGTCAGGTGTGATGGTAGAAGCCTATAAACTTAGCAGTCATGAAATGGCAGTAGGAGGATAGAATTTGAATCAGCTCAGGAGACACGGTAAAATCACAGGGAACCTGAGTCATATAAGAAGACCCAGGAAAGGCAGAAAGGCATAAATGGTAGTCAGCTAGAATCACTACATGCTAGAATTTGCACATTGCTAGGCATTAAATGAGAATTGGGGAGGAAAAAAACCTACCACTTCTGC